TTGGCTTTTCCATCTGCCACCGTCGGCAAAGGAGGTTCAATAATCACCTCTGCCTACTGATGGCTAAGTCTTTTCCTTGCATTGTCACAGTTCCTCCATTACCTCCAAACAGATCCGCAGCTTCTTTTCTTTTCAGATGTATGAGGTTGTTAAGAGACTGTCTGGTCTTCCTGGATATTAACTGTCCCAATTCCTATGAAATATTGTGCTGTGACAGCTTTAGGGCTCTTCTCTGGTCAAGGTGCAAATACAACATCCCCATATAAACAGAGTTAGAATCTCTCCTCTAAAACAGCTCACAGACCAGATTAAAACATTAGAGGGGAAGCAAGGGAAAGGCCTGAAGTCATATAGCAATTCAACAAGAGAGGTCCAATAGAAACCAGCTGCCTCTAGTTTCAGTTCAATACCCTCTTCTGTATTCCGTTTACTAGAAATCTAGAGCTCATTCTGGTCTTTTCACACCTTCCCACCCTCACTACCCATTAGGATAGATGGTTTTGCTCACAGATGGCTACATTTTAGCACCGGTTGCACATAGTGCTGATCATCTCAGTATGGAGCCACTACTTGGAAAGCCTCTAACCTGACCCAGAAGAAGAGAGAACTTACCATGCCAAGCATCCCAAAGGGTGAAACAGCTCCTGCCTGCCAGGACAACAGAAAAACAGAACAGAGAATGACCTTGCAACAGCCAAACACTAGATCCTCCTCAGAACACCCTCATCCTTCTCAGAAACAGAGCTGAGAACAGGCCCAAACACTCAGGCCCAAAAACCAGATCAAGAACGTGCCCCACAGATTCATGGTGGTTCAAACCATATCACCCCTAGCAAACCGGAAAGAAGGTGATGCTCCTAAATTTCTCCCACTTATATTGACTTATGTCCTTGAGAAATAACACGTGTTTCTTCCCTTCCTCCCATTCAACCTAAAACGCAGTTGCGTTCAATGTATTAATGCATGTGGAGTAAAGAAAAGGACAAGAACACCACTGTTTTAGAGATTCGTTATGCGCCCATCATCCGTGTGAAGGTGAAGAGCATGCCCAACCCAATAACGGCAGAAGATAGAAGCTAACAAGGCAGTTTAAGAAACCCTATCCTGTACTCAGCCCCTCTTTTACCTGCATCCTACGGCCAGCCTGGCGAGCCCCAGCTGTGGTCCCATCAGTGATGCCAAGGAGCGGGCCGAACCCAAAACTTCCAGAAAGCATGCGGTTCATGTGCTGCCGGTGGATGGCAAAAGGGTCCCTTTCGGAAAGGTTGAGAGAACAACGGTGAGGAAGGGATGACAGAAGACAAAGCCCCGCATAATCCACCCATTCTGACTTTTGAGTTTCTCTTATGTAACTGTACATTTCTTTCCAAGCTGAAAATCCAGAATCCCAAGAACTCGGTGTTGCTTATGGTGATCCTTGGGGCTGGAAGGGTCCTCTGGATCCCATCTTATTTCTTATAATAGAAGGTATTACACCACAGAATCCCTCTCAGGCACTAATTGATGTCCGTTCAGAAGTAGTTTGGTGTTCTGCTCCCACTAACGCTTTAGGGCTAAGCATGGCCAAGGCCATTCCAGAACCGCACTGCTCTAACAGATGAAAACCACTTCTCAGATCTGCAGTCCACGTACCACCATCATTTCATACTCATTTCCTACTGTGCCATCAAAACCCTTTACGTTAACAGCTCTGCGAAACAATCAAACCCTTCTAGAAGAGTAGTTCTTCATTTTGCAGGGAGGTGCACGAGGGCCCTCCTAGCTGCAAAGAAAGGACTACGCTTACTGGGACCAGAGAGCACCCGATCCTAGATACTGTCCTCTCACCCCTCCACATACACATGCACAAACACACTCAAATGCAAGACTGAAACCTCCAGAATGGACTGTAAGGCCTGACACTGTGTGACATCCCTCCGCCCCAAGCAATCTTCATCTGCTATTTTCCTACAATGTTATGTGTACACCTGTCAAGAGGTTGAGACCACATACAGCTTTTGCAGATTTGAGAGGGAAAGGGAACAATAACTGGGGTCCCTAACTGGTTTTCCTTCCTTTCCTTCTGTTGCAGCCTCCACTTTGAGGGCTGTACGCATTCACACATGCTGGAGGAGCAAGGAGAGAAAAAGGAGAATAAAGACGAACGGTCACAGAATACAGTGGCCACAGTAAAAAAAAGTCTGGGAAATACCATAGCATTTCTCTGCACATCTTATAGTCTGCACTTATCCCTCTTGAGCATGAATAACTTCAACAGCATAGAATACTCCTGAGATCACAAAGGCACCTACTACAAACCAATACTTTTCTGTCTCTACTGGAAATGCTTCCCATAATAAAAGCTAGACTCATACCTACCACATCAATGAGAACACACAGTCATTCTGTGACTAACTGGGATATCAAGGTCTCCCCTCCTGCTAATTTGTTTATAGCTGATAAAATTCTTGCTTCTTACCAATTTTATAATTTTATAAGCAAAAACCAGACTTTATTCTTCTACATAAATTAATTCCACCAAATTTCTAGGTGTGCCATGCTTAACATAATCAAATTCTTACTGTATTACAGTCTATTCCTTATCTGCTTTGGCAAGGACTGCCAACTTAGTTTCATTGCCAAAATTTATCAATACCATCCAATTTCTGGACTGTGGACAGAAAGAAAAACATTCAGTAAAAGGAATCCCAGGAAGAGCTCTTGGGACCTTTGTCAGACTTCAAGACTCGTATTTCAAAACTACTTGTTGTCTTCTCTTTACTTAGTTCCTCACAACTCAACAACTGCTTTAGCAGTCTTCTCCAGCTCCATTAATGATTTCCTGTGCCTAACAGCAACAAGCACTGGACGGAACAGCAGATTTTAATCTGTCTGAACTGAAATCCTAGTTTGCATAATAAAAAAAAAAATCCTTACGCAAAGAAAAAGATTAGGTATTCCAGCCCTCTCTTCCTCAGACAGTTGCAATGCCTTTTGGCCTACTTAATTTTGCTTTCCTCCAAGACCACGCTCTAGTATTACAGAAATCAGACCAACGCGAACCAGGTTATTCCCTGAGCTGCCCCTTAAGAGAGTGTTTGTATTTTTCTCCAGACAGCTGCTGCGCTGCGGTATTTCCCGCAGCCCGGAAGGCCCTCAACCGCCTATTCGGACCGCGAGGGAGGCACA